AAAAAAAAAAAAAAAGGTAAGAATACATGAAGTCCAAGAGTGAAAACTCTAGGTTCATCTTACAACCTAAAATTTCAGCCTAGCTGTCTCTGTCTATAAAACTGATAGAAGAGATATTATGGCTTAATTGTTCATCAGTGGCCTCTTATCTCCTTTGAAGCCCAATGTGGGAACCCACCCAACTTCACTTATGTGCCCACTAGGATTCCTGCAGCTTACGGCAGAAGTCGTAAGTGGATCTGGTCACCTCTGTCCCGAAGGCAGCATATTCCTGCTGGAGTTTAGAACTGCCAAACCGCTCATTTCTAACATGCCCTTACAGATAAGCCCTACAGACACTAACAGACTTAAGTTAACTCCTCAGACTAGAAAAACATTGGGTTCGTGATGAACATCTGTGACGTATAAACATCTGGATGGAAACTAAAAATTCCCAGTAAGCATTGCAGCAAATGGTCCAAGTAGTATCCTCCTGGTAGAAAAGCATTAGTAAGATTACCCAAGAGTCAAACAGGCTACCAATTAGATTTGAAGGCAAAAGGCGGCTCTAAGATTTCCCCAGCAATTTAAGCATCTTCCACTTAAGACAGGTATGATTTCCCGTAAAGAAGTTCCCATTGTTTATTTCTTTTGACCACTCTTGAAGGTCTCTGATCCCCTTTACTGGAGATCCATGTCCCAGGAAAAATAAAAAACAGTGGGGAAATTTAGGCTATTATTTCTCCCACGATTCAAGGCCAGGATCACACATACGCTGAAGTTGCCACTGGCGAGCATTCTTTTTGAACTGGAATTAGTGCGATACAGCAGAAGGGCCTGGAGGTTTGTGGTCATTCTAGATAACTTCTCACAATTTTCTGCTTTCCTTCGCTCTTGTGGACTGTGTTTGCAGAGTACAGGTAATAACACTCCCGGAGCAGAGAACCTGGAAAGCAAGGCTTCCCCCAGAACAAGGAACTCGAGGAGAACAGGGACCCATACCTGTGAGGAGACAGACTAACACCAGGAGCGCCAGGTGGGAAGTCCCCATAATTCTGGAAAACTGGAAAATCAAAAGTCAAACAGAAACAGCATTAGCCAATAAAATGACTGGTAAGCCTCGTTCTTGTGCTTTGCAGTATGGAACATGTTAACAGCATCGTTTTAGTGAAAAACACCTCGATCTAAGATTCATGGTTAAAATGGTCATCGCATGGTCCGATGGGACCCCAAGATCATGCAGAAACCACCTGAAGCTGAAACCCTTTTTGATTGCGTGTGGCTCTCGAATTCCAAAAAGCCTTGCTTTACGGTCTTAGAATGCGTCCAAGAGTGTAGGACAACTGTTCCTTTTAAGCCATTTAAATTAAGGATGTGAAACACGAGCACATCTATTTACTCAACTTCCAAACTGGAGCTGTTTTCACTCAAAACACATTGTCCTTTGCTTTGTGTTTCGCTACAGAAAGTACATGAAGCTCACATCAGCTACAAGCTCTGCAAGAGATGCTTGGGCTACAACAAATATCTCCCATACTTACAAGCCTTTCTGATCTAGGGTTTGTGAAAGTCCCACTAACCAACGTCACTTAGACGATGTCACTCTGCCGTGCACAGGCCCGGACCAGGCTCAGGCCTTGGGCTCCCGGCCCGCGTTCCCCCGGGGGGGGGCCTGCTGCACCTCAGTGGGGCTAAACAAGGCACCTGAAGCCCAGGACGTGGGAGTGGATGGCGCAGTAAAGCAGGTGAAGCAGGGAGAGGACACAGGAGAGGAAAGCATGACTGAATGCCCGTCTTTTTCCGAGGACGCAGGAAACCACACGATAAAATGCAGCAGAGACCAACGAGGGATTCTCACAATCGGGTGACAGTAGCTGCAGAAACCAAGTCGTCGACTCCAACCTCCTGCCACAAAATGTGAGCAGGGGAAGTGAGAAGTGGGGAGAGAGACTGAAACTGAACGTCCAGAAGACACAAACCAGGAAAGCAGGGAAACATTAAAGAAGGATCAAGGCAGCCCCAAGGTGAAACCACCGAACAGCCTATTCTGGGCAATCCTCTGAAAAGGCCCCCTTTTCCTTATCTCTTCCTTTTCATGCACATCCCGCTTACCTTATTTTATCTCCCCCTTCACTGCCCACATGACATCACTGATAAAGTGATCTGACTGCAGTTAGGGAAAGAACCGTGCACCCAAGTTTCAACTGGAGAGGCCCCGCTGAGGGGCCCGGGCAGGGGTGCAAGCTTTATGATATGCCATAAAAAAGTCACCTAAGCCTTGGCCGGGGATGTACTGGGCCCCTGAGTTGCTCAAAACCCCAAGCATGCAGTGGAAGGAGTTCATGGGATTTAACTGGTTCCATCATGGGCTTTGGAAACAAAGATGTGTGTTCACGATTCCTGAGTAAATTGGCTTAAAACCAACCAACCAACCACAACAAAAAAGAGAAATTCAATGTATGCCTGTGTTAAGCGCCTGTAGTTTTGTGGGGTTTTGTTTTTGTTTGTTTGTTTGGTTGGTTGGTTGGTTGGAAAAGATCCAGCAGATGACAGCCTAGTCATTTCTGGGCGAGTCTGATCATGTATTTCTGCTTTAAGGTGACCCATATGCACAAACCGGATTTCTGCTTCACTGAATTCTACCAGGAGGAAGAAAGAGTGAAAGGCAGAATGCTGGTAACCATGGTGTGTGTAGGGGGTGGGGGCAGACAGGAAAAAAACAATAATTCTGTTCTCTCCAAGGCAGGAATGAGAAACAAGTATTTACTAAGCCAAAGCTGTCATTATGTCGTGTCTGTTAATAATAACCTAATAACTTTGAGGGATGCCTGGGTGGCTCAGTCGGTTGAGGGTGCAACTTTAGCTCAGGTCATGATCTCGCCGTTTGTAAGTTCGAGCTCCGTGTCAGGCTCCGTGCTGACAGCTCAGAGCCTGGAGCCTGCTTCAGATTCTGTCTCCCTCCCTCCCTGCGCCTCCCCCTCTTGTGCTCTGTTTCTGTCTCTCAAAAATAAATAAACATTAAAAATTTTTTTAAAAAATAATAGCCTTGACACATATTTAATTTTAAGAAGGGCCAGCTGAAGCTCAGGGAAGTTTAGCAACTCACCCCAAGTCACACAGCTGGTGATAAAGCCAGAATTCTAACCCGAAGTCTATGTGACACAAAAGCCATGCTCTCTCCAATCCACCATATGGTCTCCCTCAAGGAAAGGTCAGGGTTTCAGTCTTGTGGGTCCCCTCCTTCCCCCACCCAACACTATTTCCTAATGCAAATTGGGGCCCGGCTTTCCTTCTCTGCTCACCCCAGCGAGAGAAGTACAATTGCAGGGCTGTGAACCCAAATGCAATTTGCACAATGCTGGCTCGCTGATGGCTTCTGCGGATCCTGGCATGTGCCCGGGGGGGGGGGGGGGGGGGGGGGGGGGGGGGGGGTTGCAGGGTTTCCTCACTGCTGTGGTGACGGGCACAGCGGGCCCCAGAGCCAGCCCGGCCAGCCTGACGTACCACAATTAGCAGGAACGGCCTGTATGTTTGTACATATAAATATCAGCCTCCCACTGATAATCCACTTAGCGAACTTCAAAGGAGCCCTCCAGAGCCAGCTTGATGTCTTGGGTTTTATCACATTTATATCCTGTATTTCTTTAGCAGGGCTTGCCAATGATGCATCTTTAAAGCATTCCCGAGCTTAAGAGAAGGGCTCGCTGCTTTTATAGGGCAGGCTCCGAGGAGCGTTTTGCCCTGGCCCAGCCCCACCAGATTTCCTTCTGTGCACGCAGATACGGCAGACCTGTTGCCAGAGAGGGTTATTTACTGACATACAAAGTGGGCAATGAAAACAGGGCCTCCGAGCCAGCGATAATGATGCGAATACTGAGAATCAACATGTGTTTGCTGCAGATTGCAAACTCCCTTCTCTGATAAACGTAGTTCTCTGGCTAGAAACCTAGGGCATTTGTGAAGTTTCATGTCGTTACTCATCGGTAACTCAAGACAATTTACTCGTGAATAACCGCACAGTGTGTGCCCTATGGGGAGGTAATGGAAAACCTGAGAGGGTGGAGGGCTCCCTGCCTATTGGTCCTACAGTGAGACTCTCTGGGAGGCCGGCTTGCTGTTTCTGGCGCTTTTCTACCTACTCTGGGTGTAAAGGCTCATCCTCAATCAGTAACCTCTATCCTGCAGCTGGCCCAAAAGTCAGATGTGCGCACGGAAGCAAGTGAGGTCACGCTCATGTCAGAGAAACCTGGCATATTAGGAGTCAGCAAGAACAAATCACTTCACGAGGAGGAACTTCATCCAAATCTGGTTTTTAAAAAATCAGAATCCCATCTCTCGTGCCAACTACAGGTTGGGTTTCAGCCTCCGACCTCTATAGCCACAACGCCAAAGAAGCAAAACCGAGAGTTAGAGAAATAAACAGGGGAAAGAGAGGTCTGTCACGTTCACTGTCAGGCTAGTGACCTGTGGTTCCTTCACACTTTTTTGTCTCTCTCCTTCTCTCAGAAGCATGATGGAAATTGCTCTGGACTAGGCTCATCCCACATCGGACACTCAGTCCCTCTCTCTGAACCTCGGGCTCTTCTTCCATAAAGGGGAACTAGTAACACCTGACTTCCTGGCTTGCCTTACTACATTATCATAAGGACTGATTTACAGAGTTTAGTCAAAAGTGCTTTGAAAACTGCAGCTATGGGGTTTTTATACGGACTCCTCCTGCAGACTCTGAAGATGTTTTAGATGACAGGGATGTCAGAGGGCTGACTTCCAGGTCTACATACTGAGAAAGTCAGGCCCAGGGGTCATTCGACTTGCCCTGCATCACCTGCATAGTGGAGAAGTGGATCTAAACTCGGGTTCCGTGAAGGCCCGATGAACTAGCCAAGCTGTTTTAACAGGAACCTATATATACAGTCATGAAAACAGAAAAAGAAATCTGTTTGGAGCCGCTATTGTTTAACAACTTGGCACCTCTGTCCCTGCAAACAGAAGTGAAAGAGCCATTAAGTGAGACTCAATAATCAAAGACAACATGCTAAGCTAGAGAGTAAACAGAACACGGGCACTATTTCCGGAAGTAAGAGCATGATCTTATTCTCAGAAAGCCAGAGAGCTAGCTTCCCGATCACCAACTGCTCAGTGTAGCCGACTGCAAAGCCACTGAATACTGAATTTCACCCCACCCTAGCGTGATTAAAGGCCACAGGAGACTCTCACAGTCCCCAAAGCCACTGACGGCTATAAGATTCAAATTTCGGAGGTTCGGTTAATTTCAGCTCTAAGTTAATTCTAACTGTGAAAATTACATATCCTGCTTTTTCCCTGTGACAAATGTTCTGCTCTGTCTGGTAACATCAGCCCAGGCAATCCAAATGCTGGGCTACATTGGTGGCGTTTCATGGAGGGTGTGTTCGCCAGGATCTGCACCCCACCAGAGCCTGTTTTGTTGTTCTGATCTCTCTGAGCTCCGTCGGACATTCCGGGGATGGGTGTTGGCTGGAGTATTTTTAAGTGGGAGCATTTTACCGGACAATCTGAGCTCATAAACCTTTCTACTCTTCCTGCATCAGATATTGAACCACGGGACACTAAAATGACACTTCCTTCTGATCGCCACCAAATTGGTGTGACTCCTAATGGGATAACCTGGGTGTAGTAAGTTTCAGGGCACTGGAACTCAAGGTCACCAAGCTCCCAACCCCCAAGGCTTCACTCATAAAGGGACATGCAAGGGGTGCCTGGGTAGCCCAGTAGGTTAAGCGCCGGACTCCGGCTCAGGTCATGATCTCACCATTAGTGGGTTTGAGCCCCACTCTTGTCTGTGCTGACAGCTCAGAGCCTGGAGCCTGCTTCAGATTCAGTGTCTCCCTCTCTGTCTCTCTCTCTGCCCCTCCCCCTGCTCACATTCTGTCTCTCTCTTAAAAATAAATAAATAGTTTTAAAAAGTGGGGGGGATATGCAACTATCTGCCCAACTTCTTCACAGGTCGGCTCTGATAATCAGATGTGGTAGGTCAGTACTTGACTCATCACACAAATGCAAAGAATGAAC